CGACATCAGAACGGCTTCTTGCCGGCTGCTATGCACGTTCAAGGCCGGGAAGCACCGCGAAGAGACAGCCGGGCGCTGGCCTTCGGAAGGCCAGGGCGTCACCCCGTTAGATCGCTCGCTGGTCGGCCTCCCGTGAAAGCGCCACGTGCACGGAACGACTAAAACACCGTGGGAGCCAGAGCCAGCGGCCACCCTGGAGCGGCCTCAGGAGTCGCGGTCATCGACCAGGGGTTAAACGGACGGCACCGGCAGAGCCAGGGCCGGCGCTGTGGCTCAGGCTTCCCCGCCGTCTGCACAGCTGGCCTGTGGACCCCGCAGGGTCCAGGACACACGTGTGCCCTGGCGCCTGCGCTGGCCTGGCCCGAGCCTCCCCCTGCTGGGTGCCTGCGCCCTCCCCCTCCTCCGCCCTCACAGTCTACAGACGAGAAGCAACTGCTCCAAGTCTGGTGCTGGCCCTGTCCTTCCTTGTCCCTTCAGGCCTCCCCGCTGGCCTCGGGCCTGCCTTGTCAGCCAGGTTTGGAGGAACAGCACAGCTTGGTCGCCGAGCACAGCATCTCGCTGATTCAGCTGGAAAGTGACCCCAAGGCCTCACTCTGGTTGACTCACCAGGGCGCAGTGACAGAGTGGCAGGATTGGGGAAGGTCAGCGCTTCCCAGGGGCCCAGTGGGGGCACCCGGGGGAGGGAGGGGGTCTGCCTCAAGCTCCTGAACATTCTGGAGCTCCTTAGCATTTGGGGGGAGACGGAGCCCTAGGTCTGGGCCCTGGGACCAAGCATTTCAGGGAAGAAGCCTCCTGGACACTTGCTTGCTGCTTCCAGCTTTCAGAGGTCTGTGTGGCAGCTGTGAGACCCCCTGGTCCCCTGAGCCAGCGCTACCGCCTCCCTGAACAGAGACGCAGAGACGCAGAGACGCGGGGCTCTGAGAGCCCACCGTGCCATACTGTCCCCGAGTACCCTGCTCAGCCGAGACCCCGCCCAGGGCAGCGCTGATGCCCAGCCTGGCCCTGTCCTCCCCTTTCCCTTTCACTTCTTGGCAATTCCAGAACGCGGAATGATCAATCCATTTTACAAGGAGTGCTGTCTGCGCGTCTTCACTTCTGCAGAGGGTTATTTCCTGGGCTGGGGGTGTGAGCCAGCGGCACCAGCAGCTTGCAATGTGCCCACAGGAGCGTGGCAGAGCAGCCCGGGAGGTGGGCACCACTGAGTGGCCATTCAGCAAGGGAGGAACTGAGGCTGGGGTGGGAAGATGACTGACCTCGCAGGCAGGGAAGGCCGAGAGCCGGCTGGAATCCACAGCAAACCCATTAAAAGACATGCCCATGGCCACCCACTCTCCATAGCTCCGTGAGAACCACGCTGGCACTCTGCTTCTGACAGCTGTCAGGGGCTGCCCTTTTTCTACTTTCAGAGAGATTTTTGTTATAGGGCACGTGCGTTGGCCAGAGAGACAGAGAGACAGAAAGCAAGAAATCACGCCCCCCAGGGGGGATGGCCATGCCACAGTCCCTTCTCCTCCAGTGTCTTCTCAGGATCTTGGGCACACACGCACATGCCCGACATGAGCTTTAAGCTACCGGGTCTGGGAGAAGAAGACATCTCCATTGCTGCTGAGAACTAGTGATTTCAGGGAATAAGAGAAATGAAGATTTTCTACTGATAATTCAGTCTCCAGCCCCCAGTCTCGAGTAGTAGGGCACCCCTCTATCCCTCTCTCTGTCTCTGTCTTCTCATTTTTTGGTAATTTTTCCTTTTTTAAAAAAATTTAAGGCAAAGTTTTCCCTTTACTTTCAGCCCCTCCTTTATCTTGCGAATAATCCCCTTTCCTCCTCCCATCCAGGAGAGGCAAGGGGCAGGCCTCCAGAAGAAGATTCCTCCAGCGCTCCTGAGAACTAGTGATTTTATGCGGCATACTTGTGCGCTGCATGGTTTTTCACTTAAAAAATTTTTTTTTCTCTATTTCTTTTTCTTCTTCTTCTTCTCTCTCTCTCTCTGTTTCCTTTTCATTCCCTTTTATCTCATCACTCTGTTCCTCAGTCTCCATTCACTGTGTTTCTAGATGGATCTAAGGGAACCATAGCCAAACATCCAAACGCTATTAGGGTTAACATATTCCTCAATATCCACTGAATCTGCTGCACAAAGGGATAAAAATAGAACAGCGAAGAGATTCCAGATCACCTCCTTCTGCATGCTCCTGAATGCTCAGATTGAACTTTAAGATTTAGGAAGAAACACATCATCCATGAGGTGACTAGAAATCACCTCAGGACCACAAGAAATATGGGAAAGCAAGAAAATACCTCTTCTCTAAAGGAAAAGAATAACTCCTCTTCACGGAAATTCTTGCAAGATCTAAAAGAGGAAAGACACACTTTAAAAAAGAATCAAATGGCCCTGTTACAGATGAAGGCTATAATACAGGAAGTCAAAATCTCTCTTGACAGTATTAAAAGCAGATTAGATCATACAGAAAATAGAATCTCAGACGTAGAAGAGAAAATTGCTGGCCTAGAAAAATCCACCACAAAGACTGAGAAAATTGCCCCCCAAAATGAGAATAATATACGAGAAATCCTAGATACCATCAAATGTCCAAACATTTGGATAACTGGTGTCCCAGAAGGCAAAGAGACTCATAAGGGCATTGATAATCTATTCCATGAAATCCTTCAAGAAAACTTTCTAAACCTAGAGAGGCATTCAAAGATCCAGTCCCAAGAAATACAAAGGACCCCAAATAGAATCGACCCAAGATCTTCTCCAAGACACATTATAGCCAGACTGACCAAAACCACAAAGACAAGATACTAAGATTGGCAAGAGAGAAACGGCAAGTTACTTACAAAGGATATCCCATCAGGCTAACAGCAGACCTCTCATCGGAAACGATGTGAGAGAGGAAAGAATGAGAAAATATATTCAATGTGTTAAGAGAAAAGCAATTTCAACCAATAATACTATCCCGGCAAGATCATTCATATGGGAAGAAAAGACAAGAACATTCTCAGATAAACAAAACCTGAAAGAATTTACCAGCACCAGACCAGATCTCCACGAAGTTCTCAAGGGAGTGCTACGCCAGGAAAATTAAATACAGACACACAGAAATAAGAGTTCAAAAACTAAGAAAACGGCCAACTTAGTTGTAGGGACACATCTGGAGTTGAATATTATATCCTAGAATTCAATCAGGAAGATTGAACCACAACAGAAGATAGATAAAGTACATGAGACTGAACTAGTGAAATAGCATTTTATGACTTTTGACTAAAACATTGCTGATTTTCTTCTAGGCTTTATTTTCCAGTTTTAAGGATTTTTGTCCTGTCTTAAGCTATTGATAGTTCATGTACCTGCTATTTGAACAGAATCCTAACCTGTTTCTTGGCGGTTAGCATTTCTGTGATTGATTAAAGTTAAAACTGCTTTTCTTAAAGTTACCAGCTGAACTTGCTATTGAAAGCAGTCAGATTATTTAAGAAATTGTGTGATCAATAAAATGTGGGAGGAAAAGGAATGGAAAACAACTGTAGACACCAGAGATAGCGTGGGAGGAGGGGAAAGGCAGAAATAGGGTGTATGTGTGTGTATATGTGTGTGTATATATATATGTTGATATATATGAAACTAGACATGGAGAATTATTGACGATAACATGCATGATTAAGTCACTCTGCAGTATATTCTGGATGGGAAATCACATTTTGTATGCCGTGACGATGCTTAGGGGATGAATGTAAATTAAATAATTAAAAAAGTATTTCCTAAAAAAAGCTCATGGAAATACATGTAATGGGAAAACTATGTATGAATTTCAAAAAGTTTTTGTACCCAAATAAATTCATACTTTATTTTTAAAAAATTAAAATAAAATGAAAAAGAAAAAAAAATGATTAGAAAAAAAAGCCACTGGGCCCAGGACTCAAACTTGGTCAGTTATATGAGTCCAGCGACATAACCCTCATGCCATCTGCTGTTTCCAGCCCTTTCTTGGGGATAGAAAAGTGGTAGCTGGCCCAGTAAGAGCGGGGCTGCATCCCTGCGGCTCCTGTGTGGCTTCCCTGAGGCAGGCGCTCCCTTCGCCTGGCAGCTCCTATGCGTGCGTAGTCACCATTGCACGGGGCCTTGGGAAGTTCTTAGACTGTGGATTGTAGGACTCCCCCCTCTCTGACATGGTATGAAGGCTTGGCTCAGCTAGGCCCGGGAAGATGGAATAAAGTCAACAGGAGTTGACTGCCCGTGGACAGCTGACCGTGGGCTTGGGAGGGCTGGGGTGCTGGGCCCTGCAGCCAGCCAGCTACTTCAGGGTCCCAAGTCCCTGCTTTCCTGCACAAGGCTGCTGGGGGCGGTTCTGGAAGACCTCAGTGGCTGTGGCCTTAGCTGGCCCTTCTCACACGTCTGTGCGGAGGCCAACAGTGTCGGCCTCGTTTCACTTTCACACCGAGGCCCCTGCCTCAGGCAGGTTCCATCCCGAGACCCACCATGCCCACACAGAGGCTGGGCCAACTGCCCCAGGGGACCTAGAGAGGTGGCTGGTGGTCCTGCCAGGGATGGAGGTCCGGGGTGGTGGTTTCTTTGCCAGCCTCCCTCAGGCCTGGTGTCGGCGAACCTCCTGGGAGGCTTCCCGGGGAGTTGGATTTGGGGCAAGCAATTGAGGGCGGGGTGGGGAAGGGGTGCTCTCATTTTCTTTCTTTCTTTTTTTTTTTTTTTTTGAGAGGTTTTGCTATAGGGCACGTGCGCTCGCCAGAAAGACAGAGAGAGACAGAGAGACAGAAAGCGAGAAATCACCCCCCCAGACGGGATGGCCATGCCACAATCCCTTCTCCTCCATTCGCCTCTCGGGATCTTGGGCATGCACACACAGGGGCCCAGCATGAGTTTAAGCCGCCGGGTCCGGGACGCGAACCGCGGTCGACTATGTGGGAGTCCAGCAACATAGCCATTACGCTAACTGCTGGTCCCAAGGGTGCTCTCATTTTCAAAACTGCCAGGACTCAAGGACTTTGCTCGCTTTCCCACGGGGCATGTGGCACTGCTGCCCTGACTTTGGGGTGTGCAGGGCAGCCTGGCCACGGCCCCTCTGCTTTGTCTGGGCCGGGGCGCTCCCTGCGCAGACAGGCAGCTTGGTGGGAGGGAGTGGCCCCCAGGGCAGCCCGCAGCAGGGCCCTCTGGGTAAGCAGAGGTGGGGAGGGAGGTGATTTCCCCCACACCCCTGTTCTTGCTGCCTTCCCTTCCTCCCAGCTGTTTTTATTTCCTCGAGAGATTTTTGCTATAGGGTGCACGCACTTGCCGGAGAGACGGACAGAGAAAGTGAGAAGTCACTGCCCAGGGGAACGGCCACGCCGCAATCCCTTCTCCTCCATTCTTCTGGGATTTGGGGCACACATGCCATGCCCCCTGTGTGATTCAAGCCACTGGGTCTGGGACTTGAACCGTGGTTGGCCGTGTGGGAGTCCAGTATCTTAACCGCCATGCCACGGGCTGCCCCCTCCCAGCTGTTTAAGATGCAGCTCTCATCCTATGCCCAGACGAGAGCAGGGAGAGGCAGGTCCTGCGGCCCCTCTCCGCCCTTGAGCTGCGGAGCTGGTGGTGACAGGTGATCCTGGCCCAGGGACCTCCTAACCCAGACCCCAAATCCGTACATGCCCTAAAGCAGAGGCACATGGCCCTTCCTCGTAGCCACGAAAGTCAGACCAAAACAGCAGGAAAGAAACAGCCCAAGGTGGGCTGAGGCTCCTGAGATGGGGGTTACACGAGCTCTGCAGAGCCTCGTGCCCTCCTTGCCCCACTTCTGCTCTGCCCCAGCCTCCCTGAGGGCCCCACGGCCTCCCTCCCATCCCCCCACACGGTCCCCACAGCGGTTCCCTGCAC